AGTTGGGGCTTTTTTTCAAACTGCCAGGAGCTGGGCTGGGCAGGGCAGGGCAGCTATTGCCGGGCTGGGAGAGTGGGCGGGGGATGGGCCTGGGTGATTCGAACATTCGGCAGCAGTCAAATCTCATAATCAGATTTGGCCAGATCGAATCGGGACAGTGATTCGAATCACCGAATCAAACCACTGTCCCCCAGATCGGCCGAATCCAAAGTGAATACTAGCCACTTCACACGGGCCTAGTGAATGCTTACTCTCTGCACTGCCACTGGGAAAGAATATGTTGGAGTGGTCCAGGAAGTGTACAAGACACAGATTTTCTGTTATACCTTTTATTAGATCAACTGTGTACCTGGGAAGGCAGCTGGGCAAGCTTTTGGGCATCAAGTGGCTTTCCTCAGGTCACTTGTCCAACAGCTCTTCCAACTATACAGTTGGTCCAAAAAAAGGGAATCACAAAAATCCTTGCCCCTTGGAGTGGATAGACAGGAAATTTACCAATTTCCCAGCCTGGTTTAATAGTTAACTGGCATCTCTTTCTGGCTGGCTCTAAGTCATGAATGAGAAGGAACATTACATGCTTGGGCAGGGGAAATGATAGCATCTTTCCATGGACTACAGGTTTCGTACTAACTCTGCTGCCGGAGCTGCCTAGCAGCTTGCTAGGCTCCAGACACATTCCACGTGTCCCCACGTGTGAGTCACTGCCTAGCCCAGCAGTTGCTTTTGCAGCTGACACAACATCTGGAAGTCACCTGGAGTGGGTCTAGTCTATGGAATCATGAAAGGATATTACAGAGGCCCTGTCCATGGTTGGAGGAGATGGGGCAGGAGGGAAGCACTAACTGATTCTTCTGTTAGGGCCCTGCCCCACAGTCAAATTGAAGCTGGATAGAAACCAGCTATCTAGTTGTTGCCCATTGTCAAGCACTAATTTTGTAACTGATTGGCTCTTAAGAGCTGTACAGACATTTTTATGGTGTGATAATTACTTTGTACATGTGGCCAGTCTAAATTTATTGCAGTTAACCAGTTAATTGCTTAATGTATGTAATGTGTGGCAGGGGCCTTTGTCTACATAGACTGGATGCAAACTTACAGGGTGGGTAATAGCTCCCGGGGATTTTCTAAAGATAAATGAGGGGTGGAGTACTTCTTGTGGCTGACAGTTCAGGAAAAAAAACATTTCTTGTGAGATTTTCATTTATCTAGCTAGAATCTCTGGAGCACTTACTCTTGCTGCCCTTTGGGGCAGTTTCAGTAATTCTCCCTGGTATTCCTCAGCTAAGAGCAGCCCTGACTAGAGCTATTTGAACACCTAATTTTCCCAATTCTAGAAAACTGGGATGTGGATAGATTTCATTTTCAGTCAGTCTAAACACTTTGTTTCATTTAAACATATTTTTTCTGTTAAGGTTTTTTTTTAAAAACTATTTTAAGAACCTTTACTTAAAATATGTTTGGAAACAAAACATTGTTTTGAAATGAAATATTCAAACATTTCATTTTTTAAAAGTTAGGTAAATATTTCTACTTTTTCAGCTCTATTTCAGGTTTTTCCAAGTTGTTTCAGGTTTTTTGCTGAAAAAAAAGTATTCCTTGAAAATTGTTGCCTGCTATAGTAGTCCTAGCCTTGCTGTGTATAGTGTCTCCTCTGTCCTGTCAGTCACAGCTACTTACAGTGACACTGTAGAACTTAATGCATAGGTAGGTCTGAAGGAATGTGATTAACATGCCAGAGAGCAAGTACATTCTCATGAATCATGACATGTAGCAGCCTGCAGTATCATTGTGCATGAATTGGCCTGTTAAACTGTAGACAAATAAACATCTGCATGTGACTGTGAAAATACTGGGAATGCTAAAAAACTAAGACTTGAATCCCAAGCATAAGATCGTATACGTATAGACTGATCCCCTTTCAGGTCTAAGTGGAAAATTTGCAATCGGTGTTCCACAGCTGGTGACTGTAGGGGTGCTTAGAGTTATGCATCTTCTGTTTCCTCTGCAACTTTAGTCCTGGCCACCCTGCTTTGAGTAGTGCTGGGGTGGGGTACCAAATCTAATGCATCAGTGGCTAGATATGCCACTGGCAGTCCTCAAAGTCAGAAAGTGCCCTAGCCAGTAGCTTTCTGAAGACCATCCTTTGGATCTTTTCTCCTCTGACTCTCCTCTCTCTCTTCTCTCCTCTGTCAGCCTTACTGGAAAGGAAGCTCTGACCCACTTCCCTTTGCTGGGCCCCTCAACAAACCCTGCCCAAGGAAAGGTGCACCTTAAGCAATGTGACTTGCTCAAGCTGTCCCGTAAACAGAAGAGGCTTTGCCGTCGGGAGCCTGGGCTGGCAGAGACTTTGCGAGATGCCATCCGGCTTGGCATCATGGAGTGCCAGTACCAGTTTCGCAACGAGCGCTGGAACTGCAGCTTGGAAGGACGGACCAGTCTCCTGAAGCGAGGTACAGACCAGTCCCTGGCATGTAGTAGAACATAATTTTCAGTGTAGTAGCTCCTGATTGAGCACTTGAGTTTAGTTTGCAGAACCTCTCCTGGGAAACTGGGGGAGGTGCTATCTGTTGCAATGTGAATACCTGATCCTTGGGAGAAGGACCAAGAACAGACTTCGCGCACAGGCAACCAAACAACTTTCTGGTAGCTGCCTGTGGCTGTTCCTGACTGAGTCTGGATTTGAACCAGCCATCTAGAAGTAAAAGAACCTTTAAATTAAGGCTTAAAACCATGAACCTTCACCTTAAGCAGGGAGGTTATGTAGTAGCATGTTCAGCACCTAACCCATTATCTAAGTACATAGTAAACAGACTCCCTGGAATGAAATGTGTTGAGTATACTGTGTTTGTAGCCCTACCACCTCAGGCAGTGATCTCTGATTTCAAGAGTGAAACAGATTGAAATCTGGCTGGCACTTCTATGGGAGATAGCCAGCATCAGTTTGCTTTCTTGAGCTGCAGACTGAAGAAACTGCAAGCTTCTCCCCTGAGTTGGTATTACCAGGAAGGTGTAGAGTTGGGAGGTGATACTGATCTCACAATGCCTTTATGAGGCATTTTTGTAGAACTGCCTCCTCTTCTTGTGTTCACACATCAAATAGGATGCTGAAAAATCAGAAAAGTTCAGAGACCAGCTCTATAGGAATGATTGGAGAGCTCACTGATAAGGCAGGCTTTCCATACTAAAGGCACTCAAAAACTACTTAGTTTGCAAGACAGGCTTAAATAGTGACTCGATCAGTGTATACACACCTAATGCATGAAGATTTCTGGAAGTAAGGGCTCCTTAATCTAGCAGATAAAGGCAGAAAGAGAACCAATGGCTGGAGGCTTAAAGCTGGACATACTCAAGGTAGAAATAAAGTGACATTTTATAATGAGGGCAGCTAACCACTTGGACAATTAACTTGGGATTGTGATGGGTTCTCTGTCATTTCAGGTCTTTTAAAATCAAAATCTGACGTTTTCAAAGAAATGCTGAAGCTCAGGAGTGGCCAACCTACAGCACACATGCCACAGGCAGCCTGTGCATGTGGTACATGGCAGATCGGGGAGGGAGTAGTTTGCATACAGTATTGCTGCACTCAGATACCCTGGCCTGGGCTCTGTAAGCCTCACCAGATGTCACAACCACCACTATAGGAGCACAGAATCAAAAGATCATGAAGGTGGCTTATAGTCATACTAGCATGTGCACACACATGCTCTGTATATGGACTGTGAAGATTGGGCTGTTTCTGTAAGATACAGGAGAGATTCTCCTTAACATACTGGATCAAAGTCTGTCCTGACACATGTCCCCACATATCCTCCCTTCTTGACTGCCCAGTGAGTCAGCCTTAACAGGAAAGATGGAGGTGCTCTTAATTCTGTTCAGCGCATGGTCTACTGGTTAGGGCCCTTTGCTGGGAAGTAAGATATGTAGATACAATCCCCACCTGGGTGAGGGGGGCCTAGAGCCTGGACCTCCCACTTCCTGTGCTAGAATCTTAACCACCCAGCTAAAAAATGGAAACATATATTTTCCTAAGGAAGTGGGACCTAAAATGCCAACAAATGTCCCAAAGTACCTCTTATATGGTTGACATTACCATTCAGCAGCTAGATTTGACTCCGTAACTGAAATAATGTACTGCTGTCCTGAATATATTACTCCAACACAGTGACTTTTTTAGGATATCGAAATGTGTTTGAGACCTATTTTACATAAAGCCATATTGATTGGTATGAAGTGTAGTGCGAAACTTTAATTCTTCATTGACTGGTTTGTATCAGCCTTTCCATGATTTTGTCTGAGATCAATTCAAAATTCATTTTCCTAAAACTCAACAGTAGGTTTTTTTTCCCCTAGTTTTTTTTTTCAGAACTTCCCCTGTACCCCAGGATTTGTTAAGTATCAACATCAGTGGCTCAGATCTTCTTGGCCAATTTCCATTAAACTCTTTGGGCACGTCTACATGTATATTAAGGCACTTTTCCTAAAGTGCATTAAATTTAGTACCTTCAATGTAACATACTAAACAAATGCATATTAGGCTGTGTTAATGCACAGTAAGAATTGCACACTTTTTTTTAGGTGATGCTTAATGCACAGTAGCGTATTTTACTGCACATTAGCATAATAGCGCTTTTTTATGTGACGCTTTAATGAGCAGTAAAGTAGGCTACACTAAATAAGATCGTGGAGTACTATAACAGCTTATGTGGTCATAGCCCTATATTAAACAATGCCAAAAACCTCCATTTGATTCATAGGAAAAAAGAACAAATGAAACATTTTCAAAGAACTTTTTTTCCATTCCTTGAAAAATGTTGACTTCTTGTCACAATCTGAGAAATCTTTAAATATCCCATAGAACAAATTCTGAATTGATTGTTCTTCAGCAAATTTGACTAAATAAGGTGTGTTCGTTGACTTTAACATGCCACTCATGCTTCAGTAATACCAGTTATATCAAATTTAACATTTCTGATTTCACTTTTACATTGGTGGGTAGGTATTGAGTGATGCTGTTCTCTTTATATTTCTTAATATTGTTGGCACTTTATGTTCATCATATCCTATGTATGAGTTGTTTGTATATCTGTGCTATTTACCCTCTGGTACCCTCTCCTTCTGCTACTAGTTTAACACACTGATTAATCTGTCCACTAGTTTACCTACTACCAAGATGGAGGTAATACAAACAATATATACTCCCTTCTTCCCTTAGAAGGGGGCCCAGTGTTTCTTTTCATGCCTGGAGTTGGGGAAGTCAGCTATGCTGGTGAACGCCAACACCTTTACCATTCCAAGCCTCTCAATGTTTCTCTTATGCAGGTTTCAAGGAAACTGCCTTCCTCTATGCAGTGTCCTCTGCAGCTCTTACCCACTCCCTGGCCAGGGCATGCAGTGCTGGGCGCATGGAGCGCTGTACCTGTGATGACTCTCCGGACCTGGAGAACCGCAAGGCTTGGCAGTGGGGGGTGTGTGGGGACAATCTCAAATACAGCACCAAATTCCTCAAGAACTTCCTAGGTCAGAAGAAGATTGGCAAAGACCTGCGGGCCAAGGTAGACATCCACAACACCAACGTGGGAATCAAGGTGAGCTTGCCCAGAACAGAGCAGGGTCAGATGCAAGCATCTTGAATCATCCTCAGTCCCATCCTTGATGAGAGTGTGTTGTTCGTTGCCCTTTACTGCATAGACAGGACTGCTTATTATGTGTCATAGGCCCTATACCACTGACAACTAGTAGAAGATTCTCCTTTAGCTCTGGTGGCAGGAGTTTGCATTTTCAAAGGAGACAAGTTGTGTTCTATACCCGCTACTTCTGTCATATCCTGAGTGGCCATATTGTGCCGTCTGACTGTTTCAGTCCATCCATAGTCCCATGCAATGACTATGTACCATTAGGGTCCTTCTGACTTCTGACTATAGCAAGGCGTGCTAGTGCATAGCTAGAAATGGGATGCTTGGCTTCTACCATAGCTTTGTTGATAACTTACTGGGTGACACTATGCAAATCACCTTAGAGTTCTGGGTCAGAAGAAACCATCAGATTGTTAGGTCAGACTAGAAGCATTTTTCAGGCCATTGAATTCCTCCTAGTTATCCCTTTGCTTGGCTGAAGACATCTAGTTTTGATTAGAAGACCTTAAGGTAGAGAGAGTCCACCATTTCCAAAGTAGTTTGTTACAACAGTTATTCTGTTGTAACAAACAGCCTTTGCTATTTACAATTTGTATCTAAAATGGATTTGGGTGGTTCTTCTGCCCTTCTCCGCTAGACTGAAGTGTTCTTTAGCCCCTACCATTTTCTTCCCATAGATATATTTGGCTACTGCAATCAAATTACATCACAATCTTCTCTTAAAGCTCAATCAATTTGTATTTTTAAAGTTTGTCAATGTAAGGCATTTTCTCAAGATCTCTAGCCACTTTAGTACTTTCCTTTTTTATGTACCTTTGTTTCCCTACATGTAAAATGTGAAAAATGATGCTGAAGCACTTTGAGAGATGCTGTAGGTGGAGTCTGCAGTGTTACATACCCTGACCCATGGTCCCAGCAGTTGGTAACTAGAGTTTCTCTTCCTCCTCAGGCTGTGAAAAATGGTCTCAAAACCACATGCAAGTGTCATGGTGTCTCAGGTTCCTGTGCTGTGCGAACCTGCTGGAAGCAGCTCTCTCCATTCCATGAGACTGGCAAGCTACTCAAGCTTCGCTATGATGATGCTGTCAAGGTCTTTAGTGCCACCAATGATGCTGTGGGGCACTCTGAACTCGTGGGGCCACAGAAACATGGCCACTCCTCCAAAAACCCTACTTCTCCACGCCCGACTGACTTGGTGTATGTGGAGGACTCGCCTAGCTTCTGTCGGCCCAGCAAGTACTCACTGGGCACTGCTGGAAGGACATGCTCTCGGGAGGCCAACTGTGACAGCATGTGCTGTGGACGTGGCTACAATACTCAGAGTCGGATGGTCACCTTCTCTTGCCACTGCCAGGTGCAGTGGTGCTGCTATGTGGAGTGTCAACAGTGTATGCAGGAAGAAGTTGTTTATAGCTGCAAGCAGTAATGTCAGGTGTTATCAGGCCAGGAAAGGAGAGGTATACAAATGAGAGGCAATAATGAGGCAGAGGCAGGCACAGCTTCCTGCAAGGCACTTGGTATTAGCTCCTGCTCTCTCCATGCTGAGAATCCCTGACACATGGTGTACTGGATAGCTCCATCTATGAGGGATGCAATATCAGAAGCTGTGTCAGGTAGAGATGAGGAAGAAAGGCAGAGAGGCTGGGGAGAAATGAGTTGTAAGACTTCAGGGATACTGAAGCAATAAGGGTCTCTTTTTAAATTAAACCTTGTTCTCCACGGGAGCTGCATGAATACTGCTCCCTACATTTTGTATATAAATGCATTAGGGAGGCTAACCATAAAGGCTGAGGGGCCTTGGAATTGAAAAGTAGCAAGGAAGAAAGGCAGTAAGTGGACCAGGTAGTGGACGCATTTATAATAGGAACATCAAGGTTGCTGAAATGAGACAAAATGACTCTGGCAAAAGGAGGGGTTTTTTAATATGCTACTTCCTGGGAACCAGCTGGGTTCTCTCTGCTCTGGATTCTAGACATGCGCTGAAGAGTTCCCTCATCTGGGTGTCACAGACAAACTCAGCTAATTATTTCTAAATTTGTCTGCACATTTTAGTAACGAATGTGGATGTGCATGCACACCCACTGTAGCAGTAAACTAAAAGGTTCAAGATGGAAATGACTACCAGGCAATCTCTGCCTTTGAGTGATGATATGAAATATGAAGCACCATGTACTAGTATGCCCAATGTCTTCTGCACCTCTGCAGGAGCAAACACTGGAGCAGGGCTGTTCTCTGCCTTTCATGCTGTGTCCTGCTGTGGATGCTGATCTGAACATCTCTTATCTCCTAAATAGCCAGCCATGGCCATATACTCCAAACTGGTACTACCTAGGTGAATGGTACTTTCTTCAACATGCACTTTAGCCTTTGGCAGGTCAGGTGCAAGACTGCAGAGCTTAAACAAAGACACTGGGCATGTCCTACAAGATCGCAGCCTCTTCCATTGACTTGATTTGGGGGGGAAAGGACACTTGTCAGTATTTCAGTGGTGCAGTTTAAACCTGCTAGTACTTCTAAGCTCTTGCAGGAAGCCTATTCCACAGGTGGAGCTGGGTAAGTGGCTCAGTTAGCATTTGTGTCTTTAAAAGGTACAAAAGAGAAGGCAGTTTTTGTTGCTAGATCAATGCCCTTATACTGGTGGTATCACAGTGTATAACAAGGACTGCTTTGAAAATTCAGTAGCTATTATGTTTGTCCAAGGCATTCACAAATAAATGAGTCCAGCCACAAGTGTGAAAGAGTGCTGCCAGACTGGCAGACACAGAATATATTGTAAATATAAAGTAAAACTCTATATGCATCAGCATTTGCAGATTTAACAGAAGGTAATTTAAGATTCATGCATACAGATTCAGTGCATTCACATATCTCACAATAGCTATCTAGCAAGAGCCAGAAGACTTCTCTGCTCCCCCAGCTAGACGCTCAGGGTTGCTGACTTTTTGGTTAAATCCACTTACCCAATGCTGTGCTCACAGGCATGACTGCTTGCTGGCGGATACTGAAGGAAGTCAGTTGGGAGAAGTATGGGTGCTGCTGACTGTTGTCTAGCCGTCTGAATGAATGGGGGAACAGTGAGGAGCCAGACTCTCATTTGAGGCTGTCACAGCTTTTTCCAAAGAATGCTTAAGCTTTGTGACATGATGGAAGATGGAAATGCTTCAGCCTAGGGTAAAACATGAGGTGTAAAATGAGCTCACTGGAATTTACCATAAGCTGCCAAATGCAAGAAGAGCCTTTATCTCATTCTCCCACACCTGCACCATGTATGGATGACAGTATTAGAGATATTTCCCTCTTGCAAATCTTCATTGTGGGGTATGAGTCTGGCTTATGGACTAAAAGCTGAATTGGACCCTGGGATCTGAACTGGGCAGTGTTTGTGGGCAGCTGAATTCTCTTGAAAAGCCGGTGAGGCCATGAATGTGATCCCAAGCCTTGAATAGACCCTGAGCCTGAACTAATCTGGGTCCTAACAAGGTGGTAGAATATTCACCCAAACACTAGTTCCCTTTCAGCTCACTGGCTTTGAGATTGTAAATTCAGCACATACTCTGTTTGTTTGGACTGGGTCCTGCTTTTAAAAAAAGTTGAAGTCAACTGGCTCAAAGCGGATCTTGGTCTTTATTAATAGTTGGAGTTCACTGTGATTCTTCTGGCAACCTACAGTTCTCATAGTGGATTTATCCCTTTCATCCCATAATCTGGCTCATGATGACTTGAAGTGTAAATGCTATCAAAGTGCTTATGACAGACATGTTAGAGCCAATCGGGGATAATTGGTCTTAATTTTTTTACCACCCTAAATACCTCAGGAATTAGTAATGAGTAGACCATTAATTATATGTTAGTGTTGATCCTTTAGGAGTTTAAGGCTTCCCGCAAATCTGAGTACCAAGCAGTGGGTAAAAACTAGAAAGCAATAGTAGCTGCTTACCATGAAGGGTTAAAATTGCCTGTAATGGATATACTGCTCTGCCTTGTGCCATGGTACCAACCTGCCCCTGCACTGATGGCATGTACAGACCTGAGTACCTATCATGAATATGGCATTTGCATATGCTTCAATGGGGGCAACATGGCACTGCAGCTTTGACAGCTCTTACACATTTATCGTAAGTAGTGTGATCTCTGGATCCTGCTGCAGGCAGTCAGTTTGTTTCATAATTGTGAAATCTTTCTTATGCAATTCTTTTGTGGAAAACAAAACCAGGAGGAGGAAATGATGTCACAGTGTCCTGAGGCCTTGCGGAAAGTGCATGAACTGAGCAATCAGGAGCTTTAGTCCTGGCTCTTCCATTGACTGCTGCTCTAATGCTTCTGTTCACTTCACAACTCATCCTGCAAACCAAGGTCTTAGGCTGTTGCAGGCAAGTATCATTCACTTGCTTGATGGATCAGATAGCAGAATTTGTATATGGTCTCTGCAGAACAATAAGGTTCTAGTAACAAAGTCAAGTCTCTTGCTTTGCCAAAAAAGTCTTTTCAGAAGGAAAATTGCTTCTGTTACTCCCTGCTGACACAGTGTGGCTCAGTGTCATGCTGGAGCAGCTGGCTCCCAGAGAAGTTATGGCTTTGATTTTTCAGTGTGAAGTGGGCTGGTTGCCTTAGCTCACATGGGGAGATACACTTGTGTTCAATCCTGTCAGAGGACTCAAACAGGATGGGTGTGATGTGTGGCTGTGCTATCACAATCTCTTCCCAGAGTCAGAAATGCACCTGAGGATCCTGATGCTTAGCATCTCCTGCTTTCTCACAGATACTGGTGGAGCCCACGGATAAAGCATATACTGTCTCTGTGTGCTTGATCCATATGCAGCAGACCAACTTGCTATTCCACCTTTCCAGTTCCCTGTAGCTGAGGGAATTGATAAGACAAAAAGGGCCAGAAGACAGCTTGGGAGCTCATCTAGTCTGATCTCCTCTTCAAGATACAAAATACTTAAAATATCTAGTGATGAAGAATCAACAAGCTTTCTACATAATTGGTTCCAGTGCTTAATAATTCTCATAGTTCAAAAATCCTTCCTAATAGCTAACCTTACTGCAGTTTAATCCTCCTTACTACTTACCCTCTGTTTTTTGCACAGAGAGCAATTAAGCACCATCCTCTTGACAGCATTCCTCTTTGCATGGGCAACTGGTGCCTCCTGATCCAGGCGGGGGTGGGGAAGGCACCATGGGCCGAGCACCAACCGGGGTGGGGGATCCCCCAGCAGCCGATTGGAAGTGCCAGCAGCAAACCCAGAAGTGCTGCTGGTGCTTCTTTTGGCACCCCCACATTCTCAGGGGGGGCACAGGCCATCACCCCCCATTCCCCAGCCAGCGGCAGCCAATCTCAGAGGGGGCATGTGACCCCTCTACACGTTGGTTATGCCTTTTTGTGTTTGAAGAGTGTTATCGAAATCACCTATAGTCTCAAATAATCCCAATTCTTCCAACCTTTCCTTGTATGCTATGTTTTCTAGACCTCTGATACTTTTGTTGCTGTTCTCTGGACTCTTTCCAGTTTGTCCACAATTGTCTTGAACTGTGGTGCCAAAGCTAGACACTGTCTACTGGGTGAGGCCTTGAGAGTACCAAATGGAAAGATGGATTCAGATTGTTTGTCTTGGAGGCAACACGCCTGTTAATATATCCCAGTATCCTATTAGATTTCTTTTTTGACAGTATTCTTTTGTTGTTGATATATATTCAGCTTATGCCCTCCTGTAATCCATTGATCTTTTTCTGCCTAGCCAGTCATTACACTAGTTTGTATTAGTGCATTTAATTGTTCCTTCCTAAGTGTAGTAGCTTGTCCATATCCTTAAGTAACTTCATCCTGTCTATTTTAGACCATTTCCCCAACTGATCAGAGTCCTAACCCTGTCTTCTAAAGTGCCTGCCAACCTATACAACTGACATCATCCACTGTTTAATTAAGTGTACACTTGATACACTCAATTCCATTCTCTAAATCATTAATGAAGATACTGAATAGTACTAGGACCAAGATAGACCCCTGGGAAATCCTTCTTGACACAGTCTTCAGTTTGACATTGATCCATTGATGGCTAGTCAGTGAGTTTGATTGTCCAAGCATTTATGCACTGACCTTCACAGTAGTTTCTTTAAAACTGTATTCCCTTAGCTTGCTTATAAGATACCATGAAAGCCTGTGTCAAAAGCCCTACTAAAGTCAAGGCATTTTATATCCACTGTTTCCCCTACTATCAGTAATGGCATTCATCTTGTCACAGAAGAAAATTTGGTTGAATAGACATGATTTGCTCTTGACACATCTATGTTGACTGTTACTTGTTATCTAGGTGCTTGCAAATTAATTGATAATATAATCCAGGATCTTTCCACATTTTACAGTTAGAGTGACAGGTCTGTAATTCTCAATCTTCTGGAACCTCACCCGGCCTCCATGAGGTCTCAGAGCTAATAGTCAATGACTCTTCAGTTGCTTAGGCCAATTCTAAGTACCCTAGGTTGAATGTAATCAAATCCTACTGATTTTAACATCTAGTCTTTTCTAATAATCCTAATTTTACTTTCCCTATTCTTGGCTGAATTACCTAGGTCTTGTTTTTTACACTAGTTGTGCTTGTTATCTGGCAGTGGATCTTTCTTGTGAAGACTGATGTAAAGGAGGCATTAACTGCTGCTTCTCCACTTTGTCCATTATTGGAAGATGAGGTGGGGAGGGGAGGGCACAGGTGATACAGCTAGCCTACTCTAATAGCCTGGCCCTTCTAAGCATCCAGAGATAAAGCAAGCATGTGCTGCAAGAATTTTTTTTTCTCCAATTTGGAAAGTCCCAGATAAATGGAGCAGTACCCCCAGGCTGAAAACATGCCTGGCTTTGTCTGAGGCAGTGAAAAAATATGTATACTTCCAACTGGAATCTTCATTCTGCCTTAAACTGTGATGTAACCTCACACTGTTCCACTCCACAAGTGGAAGTTTTTCAGAGGTAAGTTAGGTGGTTTGCGTAAGGTAGATTTTGGAAAAAATGACAAAAAGCTTGTAAGAGGATTCCTTAAGCAGAAAGGTGGCTAGAGCCATGTAAGGTTATGATCAGACTACTAAAGCTTACAGTTTTGGCACTTATTTTCATGGGCTTTACACAGCTCAGCTTTGACCTCAGCAGAAGCCATGCACACTTAAAACATATTTTGAACTTGGTTTCTCCAATATAAATGTAAAGTTGTTGGGGGGGGTTTAAAATGAGAGGAATTATTTTGGATTTACTCTGCTTTGGAGAACAGAATTTGTCTCAAAGAAAAATAAGCCATCCTGGATAACCAGGGGTCTCTGAGGAAACAGAAGTAATGAAAGAGATGCTTTTATTTGCAAGGAATTGAGGAAAGAACTGTATTCTTTTTGGAATTATCTCATCAGATATAAACCTTCAAGTTGTAAGAGTCACTCCTGCTCAATTAGCACTGGAGCACAGCTGTGGCTGCTGGCTCAGTACATGGAAGGTAGGGATTCAGGATTTTAGATGTGTTTTCTGAGTGGTACCCAAAGTCTCTGGTAGCTGATGGGAATTGCACAGTATCATATATGCAGTCAAACCTCCCTCCTACCACTATCCTGCTTGGGCCTGTGCTCAACTCCAATTTCATTACTGTCACATGGAATGTTTGACAAGCTCCTTTGTCCTTAATATGACAATGCAACTTGCCTGGAAAAAATGAGGTTGTGGAAGATATTGTTTGTATCATGGAGTCCCTAGTCTTGGACAAAGACCCATCTCAACTAGATGCCATACAAACATGTAACAAAGATGGTCCCTTCCCCAAAATAAATAAATGAACTGATCCTTCCTCATTCGAAATTCACTGCACTGCTGGTTTGGTGCTCTCTAGTGTCTTACACTGTGTCATCCAATCATTGTATGCTTGGCAGAGAGAAAAATCTGTGTTTAAACACTGACCTGGCTTTCTTTGGTGATGTCTGCTCTTCAGATCCCTTTCTCAAGCAAAGTGGAGTGAAGTTAAGAATCAGTTTAATCTTGCAGTTTGTCATTTGGTTGAGATTAAGTAAGACTATATATCCAAATATCTTTGGCAAAAAAAATGGCTAAGAGGTTTATTTAATCTCTGATTTGCTTCCAAACCTGATGAAGCCCTTTGGGGGAGAGATGGGCTTGTAGTTTTAAAAAAAAGCACAAAAAAACCAGCTGGGCACTTTCAGCTTTGGCCAGCAGCCTCTGCCAGTGGCTGTTTGTCTGGAAACCAGAAAATGCAAACAAATTAGGAAAATTGATAATAAATGACTCTATAAAAGTTTTCAATAATTAATGGATACTGAGGTATAGGAATACTGATCCGGCAACAGAGATGGATAAATGCTACAATTTTGCAACTGTGGTCTGATATTTATTATGGATGAAAGGAAATTAAAGGGTGACACGATAAGTTTTTAAATATTTGAAAAGCTGCCATAAAGAGGATAACAAGCAATTGTTCTTCCTAGTGACTGAGGTCAGGACAAAAAGTAATTGGTCTAAACTTCAAAAAAAAGGATTCTGGTTAAGCCTCAAAAAAGCTTCCTAAATGTCAGAGCAGGTATGTGTTGCAACAAGCTGCCTGGGGAAATTGCAGAATC